ACATCACTCATATGATAAGCTTCGCTTGACAAAGTCAACAGCGGAGCTAAAAAACATGTAATTTAATTTTTAATTCTGTGAAAATCTGTATTCATTCCAAAACATATCTGCACTCATTCAAATTGATCCCATTCTCTTTTACTTGGGGTAAACTACGTCACATTCAAGATTATGTCACATTTGAGAACTTTCTTACTTTTAAGTCAGAAGCAGAAGTGCTATAAAGCAAGAGCAGAATCCTGTCACTGAGCATGATTTTCATTGGTTGGTTGGTCAAAAAGTGTGAATCCCAATGGTCGATGCCCATAATATACAGTGTAAGGGTTCACCGCATGCCTTATAGAAAAATTAAGTTTTAAATGGTAAAAATGGTACGGAAAAAGTGTGTAACACCAGCACCAGCAACAATTTGTACAGGATTTACTGCCGGGATATGCCAATATTGCAATTTGTGAAAGATTTTGTGCCGGAACTGGTCCAATATTGTAATTTGTGTGTGATTTAGTGCCAGGGCTGGGAAAATATTTTAATTCGTGCAGAATTTTGTACTAGGGCTGAGCCAATATTGCAATTTGTATGGGATTTAGCGCCGGAACTGGTCCAATATTGTAATTTAGTGCCAGGGCTGGAAAAATATTTCAATTCGTGCAGAATTTTGTACTGGGGCTGGGCCAATATTGCAATTTGTGCATCGTTTAATGACGAGGTTGTGCCAATATTTCAATTTTTGCTAGATTTAGTGCCGGAGCTGGGCCAATATTGTAATTTCTGCTGGATTTAGTGCCGATGATAGGCCAATATTCCAATTTGTGCAGGATTTAATGACGGGGCTGGGCCAATATTGCAATTTGTGCAACATTTAGTGCTGGGACTAATGACAATATTGCATTTTTTGTGGGATTTAGTGCGTGGGTTAGGCCAATATTGCCATTTCTGCAGCATTTAGTGCCGGGACAAGGCCAATATTGCATTTTGTGTGGGATTTATTGCCTGGGTTGGACCAATAATTTAATTCGTGCAGGATTCAGTTCCGGGGTGGAGCCAATATAGTAATTTGTGTGTGATTTAGTGCCAGGGATGAGCCAATATTGCAATTCATGCGTAATTTTGTACCGGGGGTGGGCCAGTATTGCAATTTGTTTGGGATTTAGTGCCAGGGCTAGGCCAATATTTCAATTTTTGTGGGATTTAGTGCCGAAGCTGGGCCAATATTTCAATTTTTGTGGGATTTAGTGCCGAAGCTGGGCCAATATTGCAATTTCTGCTGGATTTAGTGCCGATGATAGGCCAATATTCCAATTTGTGCAGGATTTGATGATGTGGTTGGGCCAATTGCATATTGTGCAGCATTTAGTTTTAAATGGTAAAAATGGTATGGTAAAAAGTGTGTACCACTATGCACCGGCAACAACTTGTACAGGATTTACTGCCAGAGCTAGGCCAATATTGCAATTTGTGCGAGATTTTGTCCCGGAACTGGTCCAATATTGTAATTTGTGTGTGATTTAGTGCCAGGGCTGAGCCAATATTGCAATTCATGCGTAATTTTGTACCAGGGCTGGGCTGGGCCAATATTGCAATTTGTGAGGGATTTAGTGCCAGGGCTGGGCCAATATTGCAATTTTTGTGGGATTTAGTGCTGGAGCTGGGCCAATATTGCAATTTCTGCTGGATTTAGTGACGATAATGGGTTAATATTCCAATTTGTGCAGCATTTAGTGCCGGGACAAGGCCAATATTGCGGGGCTGGGCCAATATTGCAATTTGTGCGTTGTTGAGTGACGAGGCTGGGCTAATATTGCAATTTGTGGGATTTAGTGCTAGGGCTGGGCCAATATTTCAATTTGTGCAGGATTTAGTGCCGGGATGGGCCAATATTGCATTTTGTGTGGGATTTAGTGCCTGGGTTGGGCCAATATTGTAATTCGTGCAAGATTCAGTTCTGGGATGGAGCCAATATTGCAATTTGTATAGGATTTAGTGCTGGAGCTAGGCCAATATTGCAATTTGTGTGAGATTTTGTGCCGGAACGGATCCAATATTGTAATTTGTTCGTAATTTTGTACTGGGGCTGGTATCGTATCGGCAAACACATGGAAGACAAATTGTGGGACCAAACAAATGTCACATGGTTTACGTTGATTATACACAATTATATTATGACACAAAAATAATTACATTCATACCAGAAACCATCGCTGTTTTGTTTACTTTTCACAACAGTTACAAAGTATTTCATTTCTGATGGTTAAAATATCAATCGTAGACTACAAGTGTTTATTTTTCCCGTTTCAAGTCTATTTATGATCTAAGCAAAGGCAGATGCTTGCTAACAACTACTGTCGTGGCAAAACATTGCACATCGTGAATGATTTTTTTTCACTCCACGCAATTTATTTTCCTTGATGCACTCAACAAAGTCGAAGCAGATATACAACATGCGTTGTAGAACGTGTGAAAAGTACTTCACGTTCAACTCGCTTTGAAACTGCTGCCTATGCTAATAAGCATAGTCCTCGGGATGAAGCCTTACAACTCCAAGATGGCGATAACATTACACCATAAATACGCAGTCAACACCAACGTGCATGTCACACTATTTCACTTTTCATGTCTAATCACCATAAACCATGTGACATTTGTTTGGTCCCGCAACTTGTCTTCTATGTGCTTGTCGATTACCTAACAGTGTGGCATGTCACCGGTATATACTTGTTTACAGTAGTTTGTGAGCAGTCGGCGAAATAACTATTTAAAACTTACCATTTCTATAAGGCATGCGGTGAACCCTTACTCTGTAAATAAAGAAGTAATATCGGCATCGATCGATCATTGTGATTCACAGTTTTCGACCAACCAACCAACCAATTAGAATTGCGCTCTTCGCAGAGTGACACTATGGCCCTTTCGCACGGTTCAATAATCAACATTCGGCGAGTCGCACAATTGCGTCACAGAGTTAGTTTCTAGACCCCATTACATACCCCTTTTTTATGAGCGTGGATTAATAGGATACAATATTTATAATAGAATAATTCTTTATGGTTTCTATAAATTGTGATTTTTTTTCATTAAAAATAAATATACATAGAAGTAACATGTGCCATAGTATGATAGAAATTCACACACAACGATAGTGTTGTTCTGATTGAGCTTTGTGGGAAGTACACATATCTGCTAAAAAATTACGCTATCGAGTCACGCTATAATTAAACAAGCAGCCTGTCGGCTAAGATAGCTCCGCTGTTAGCAAAGCACATTTCAATTAAAGAACTGAAGATATCATTAGAAAATGAAAAATAGGTATAGTATCAAAGCAATTGGACTCATTGTTTTCAACAAGAATTCGAAAATATCACTTTTTACCAAAAATGACAAAAATATTCATCAAAATTAGATAATTGAAGATATCACCACGAATTAACAAGTCTGAAAGAGGTGCACATGTAGTACCTATATATGTAATATAAAAACAATCGGACTTGCGGTTTTCAACAAGAAGTCGAAAATATAACCTTTTACCAAAAATGACAAAAATATTCACCAAAATTAGAGAATTGAATATATCATCACGAAATGAACAAATCTGAGAGAGGTCTACATGTAGTACCTATATATGTAATATCAAAGCAATTGAACTATTGGTTTTTAACAAGAAGTCGAAAATATCACTTTTTACCAAAAATGACAAAAATATTCACCAAAATTAGAGAATTAAAGATATCATCATGAAATGAACAAATCTGAGAGAGATCTACATGTAGTACCAATATATGTAGTATCAAAGCAATCGGACTTGTCGTTTTTAACAAGAAGTTGAAAATAACAAAAATATTCATCAAAATTAAAGAATTTGAGATTATGACATGAAATGAACAATTCTGAGAAAGAGCCATCCAAATTACTTGCATATCAAATTGAAAAAATCTGACTTGCGGTTTCGAAGAAGAAGTTGAAATTGTAAAGTTGATGACAACGGACGACGATGGAGGCCGACGACGACGGACAATCAGTAATATGAACAGCTCCGCTGTGTCGACAAAGTCGTCAGCGGAGCTTAAAAATGGTTATTCTTCGTCCCAGGTTGTTTTCTTTATGTTTATAAAATTTGATGTAGTGTCTATGGCTCACTCATTTCTTGTTTCAAAATCAAACCTTCCCATGATCAAAGAAAAGTATCCATGGAGTTCTGTGATGCTACATTTTGTATTAGTCAGAATGAGAGTGAACAAAATGCGTCTGGTCTTCACACAGGATGGATGGCATATCAGCATACCATCTTTTGCCATATCACTTTTTTCTTATGGATCCTCGTTTTGAGAAAAGACTAGGTTTGATATTGTTAGAATTAGAATTATTAACTACTGAGATAATCAAAATGACAAGAGAAAGAGTTCCTTTTGTACCCCATATATAACCCTAATTTAACTCTCCCAATGTAATTGTATATGCCCATTCTAAGGAAACCTATAGTTATTCAGAAGGGGCATATACAATTGAATTGGGGGGCTTGGGGTGAGGATTAGAGTTAGGATTACAGAAGGAACCCTTTCCATGGCAATATATATCAAATCAAAATGTGTATATCTAGTATACATCAACACTGTAATAATACAGTACACAAGATAGGGTATAACATAGCTTCTTTACACATAGCATAAATACATAGCATGAACAGTTCAAATATACTGTAGAATACTTTATTTTCGCTTGGAATTTATTTTCGCTATTTTCGCTGAAGGGATGATTTTGTGAAAATTAATTCCAGCGAAAATAAAGTATTCCACAGTACTTCAAATACAGATAGTCAGGTGTAATAATGTGACACAACAATTCTCTGATTGGTCCATATTGTGACTGTTATCAGGCAAGTGTAATTTACTTTGGCGTAGACCCATGATACATATAGCTTTTGCTACTAGGATGGACATGACATGGAAAGCAGTGCATTGTGGGAAATAACAACACTCGCCAGAAGATGCAACTCGCGATTTACAGAACAGTAGATATTCAGTGACAGAACCAAATGCTATCTGCTATCACGTTTATTATTTAAATCTCAAGTATATTTCGCATAATGTTCCGTACAATGTTGTTTTAAATCACTTTAATGCGTGAACATTCTCATCACATACAGCCCTTTCACTGAGTGAGAAAACGATACACTTCATCGCTACTCACACGTTCATTTGCGATTTTCGTCCAACTAATATATTTTTCTCAATTTTTAATTTGTCAGAAATAATGTACTTACATTCCACGTCATTTAGCTTATGTCTTTCTTCTTCTAATTTGGCTTTCAAGGTTTCTAATTCCCGACTCAATCCAGATATCGATTCCTCCTTCATTGCAGCGTCTGTTGTCGCCATCTTGGATGTGTTTTGTGATGACGTCAATATGTAAATGAGATAACTTTACCGCTTGTCTCCCATCAACAGTAGCATGGTTACTTGCCGATGTTTGCATAAATGTAGGTTGTGCACTTAAAAATACAAATAAATCGACCACAGTACTATTTATTTAATATTTTTCCAGATTTACCGTATTATCGCTACTTTGGGATGTAAAAATTAAGAGTAAAATGTTACTGATCCGATTGATGTGAATTTCAGTCTTCAAATGACTTTACTTCTTTATCTGGGAAAATAAAAAGAAGTAACACGATATGATAATATTGAAACTCATTGATTAATTTATACATATTAATTTTTAGAATAATATTATCTTGTCCGCGGATATTTGTTTATCAATTGAAAAAAAAATAATTAGCAACAAATATCATTTGCCGCAAAATGTTGTTAAAGAGCATCTACCATGTCCCCCAACCATGCGATGTAATCATAATATATTCTGTTTGTAATATCCAGTAACCACTGAAGATAATTAATAAAAATCACAACTTGATACCGGGATCCGTAATCGACTTCTCAATCCGAACGTGTGAAACCGCATTAAACCGGATACCATCTACGCAACCACACATATCAATTGGGTATCCCACAGAGTTTGACCAGTTCTTGTTTAGTCTAAAAAATATTTTTCCCTTATGATAAACAAGTTGTATTAGATAGAAACTGTTCAGAAAGGCGGTCATACTGAGCCCGAGTTACTACACATAGCCTCGTTTTCACGCACCAGTAGCTAAACCAAACTGTTTACGTCGTCGCCTTTGGCTTTTAAATTAGCGAATATGATATGAAATGGAATTAACCTGTTCGCTCGTTTTACCAATTAACTCCAAGAAAATGATTTGAGACATGACATTCGATATCGTGCGAGAACCAATCTCGAGCAGGCTTTCTCGTGGGACTATGGTTAATGATGCAATTTCTTTACTTTGAACACGAAAATTGTTTGGGTGAAACCCCCGCAAATAAAAATGAAATACTCATATTAACGGATACTTAAACGCCAACTCGTACTAATGTTACTTATACCACGCAGTTTCATTGCACTTACCTTCATTAGGTGGACAACAGCGAACGGTGTGACGGAATATTGGGGTACCTGTACTTGAGAAACTGTGGCTCATATGTCATTCGCAGATGATTGTATGGAATCGACATATAAATACAGCCACCATTTACATTGTAACATACAACCAAAAATATGAGTTCATTGTGTTATATACGTAAATCTATCATGTGTTACATAGATCATTTTAAGAAATTTTAAAGGTCTTGTTTGAGCTGTTTTTTTCTTAAAGAATGAAAATCAATGTATTTGTGAATAAAATAGATAAAGATTGGGTGGAATGGAAGGAACACGATGACAATTAACAAGTTTATGATCTACAGAAAAGCAACGAACATCATATGTGTACGAATTTATTGGAATTTCCGTCTCTTACGTAACAATTAATAGTATCAACGGTTTGCGCAAAACGAAAGACAAATAAACCACTCGCGGATAGTGGTTTACAACAGAATATTGAAGACAAAAACTTAAGTTGTTCGGTAACCCATGCTGTAGACTAAATCGAACGTTGATTTATCATAAACTAAAAATGTTAGATGAAAAATCAAAAGCACTACTACGCATGTGCAGTGATTATTATTTTGTACGTACCAAATCGAGCAGTGCACATGCGTATTAGAGAATCTCGTTGTTTCATCGAAAGAATACATGGATATGTGCTACAAGAACGGTATTTTAAGTTCATAAACATATTTTGAACTAATAATTTCAATGCGTCATGATCTGTCGGGCTGGTGACCCAGTGTACCTTCAGTATGTGTTTATTATAAATGAATGAAGCAGATACTGGCAAGCGTGATAAAACATCAGTTCCACGATAAAAGGTTTGTCGAGTATGCGCATTAAGACGATACCATTTACTGACAGGGAGCGTTGGCTGTAGGTTTCAAACCACAATTAGTCTTTGTACCGAGGCTCGGACAACATACTGTAAAGGGATTAATTATTCACTGGGTTTTAATTTAGCTTATTTCGCTGACTGGAAAATGCGCAAAATTAAAACCCAGTGAATATGTAAAATTTAGCATAGAACACATTATCTAAATGATAAAACCGTGAATTTAAAACCCACCGAATATGCCTGAAATGGTAAATCAGCGAAATTTAAACCCAGTGAAAATTAGTCATTTTTCAGTATACACCCATCAGCTCTCTATTTTGAAAACAGCTTTTTGCAAGGGATGGTATGATTTTATTTAAAACCTTACGCTTGTGAATGGCATTTTAGCTGGGTAAACCTTTCTGATATTGTCAACACCAGTGATATTGTCAATATCAACTTTGTGATGATCCTGTTGTACCAAAACTATATGAGTTTAAAAACTAAACAAAACACGAGAAAATGTTTTAATAGCCCTGCTTTCAAGTTTCACATCTTCGTTTATGGAGTGGAGGTGCACGTAGTGTGAGAATTTTAAAGAATATGAATCACATTATATTATTTCTTGGTTTTCATGATTTTGGATTTAGCTCCGTTTAGAATGTATTTATTCTCACATGGTATAACATCTGTGTCGTTAGGGAATACATTAACAATGTTACAACTCAATGGAAAACCCAGCTTTACGTGATACTAAACAAAAGCACGTTGTAAGATTTTCCTGACGTTTTTATTTTTAGATTTTGTTTTAGATTTTGTGTAATGTAACTTGAAGACTGGGTATATGATGTGTATCGAATTAATTCATCTCGGTATTTATTAAATTCACGTTTCTGCAAAGTTACAATGGTAATTACAGAATTATTCGAAATAGATGACATAATAACGGTTTCTATTCAGTAAACTTTAGTTGAATACAGTGATGGTAAGAATCAGTGCTTTGTAGTCCGCCACAAATTTCATGATTTTGTGAACACAACTACACAATATGACTGCGTCTGCTTTTGGGCAAACAAAAAAAGAATACATTTTTAAACAACAAGGAATATTGCTGCGTTAAGTTGCAAGAGGATTCCACTGGTAAGTATTAGTTGTGTTGACTACCACAAAGACATGTATTTGTACATACTAGTAATTCGCCTTCATGGTCACGTGCCATCCCGCTAATAACATTAGTAATGTCGGTTGTTTCCTCTTCATTTCTGTTGATTATTGCAAACAACTGGTCCATAATATTGTATAAACTCATCTCTAATTTAAAGATGAAATATGGACGAAACTAGTTTTTAATACTGATATTTGATACTGCATATTTGATGGCTTTAGTTACGAGGTATCGTAAACTAAACATTACTTTTACACAACCCGTGCACATGCAAAAAATGCCATTGTTTCATCGAACTGCAAATTTGGGTTATAATAATTCATAATGAAATATATTCATCAAACAACAATATAAAAAAAACTTTCTCACCCATATTGCATGTTTACTAGTAAAATACAGAAACAACTGAAGAAATCAATCCCGTGCATTGTATTGTTTGCATTATCAGCGTTGGATGTGGCACAAATCTAGATGTGACGTCACAGCCGTTGCAGTACGCGTAACTGATAGTTGCAGTGTTCACAACGTGTTAGAAATATACTAGTATTAAGTAGCTGTACGATCATGTATGTTTCATACATCCGGGAAAATATACTGAGCAAGACTGAGTACATGTATTTTTTGTATCTTCGTCACTGGTATATATTTGCTGTTAAAACGGCATACAAAGAATCCATGACCAATCGCGGTCATCGTGTCACGAACGAGGGTAATCAATAGTATGTACATACCAAATAATCAACTGATGTATTCCCTTGAGCGTTCTGCGTGTTATCAATGCAAACACGAATGTGCCTCATTTGTACACTTTGACATACCAGAATAAAAAAAGAGTTAAAATCATTTCGTTACGTTGTTGTGTTTAGCAAATCAGTAAAAAGTGTGACAAATTCTCACTAAATTATGAACCATGTGTAATCGATAATACGTATCACGTGACACCAAGTTGCCCATTTGAACATGTTAATGTTCAACAATCACATACAATACGTGTGGTGATAGTTATGAAGAGGTTGGTCGTTCAAACCAAAACTAATTATCCGAGAAAAAATATCTACAAAAAAGGACAAAACTACTGCAATATCATCTTTAAAAAAAAATCTAGCCTTTAATTATATACCCTATATATAAAATATG